GGAAGGGAGAGGCACGGGGCCGGAGCGGGCTGGGCCGGCCCAGGAGGCGGTGCGCGGTGGCAGGGGTGTGTGCAGGGTTCTGCCCTGCTCTGCACCTTTCCAAAGTAGCCCCAGCAGCTTCTTTCTATACAGACCCCCTCCCTCCATCTCCTTGGAGGCCTGTGGGATCCTCCCTGACATCCCACTCCTCCCCGGACATCCTCTCCCATTGCCTCCCGAGTCCCAAGTCCCCTTAGGAGCACCCCTGAGCCCCCGTGGGCATTGCCCCCTCTCTGCTCCCACTGCTTCACCTGTCCTGGAGGGAGCAGGTCCTGTCCGAGAGCCCAGGCTGGGAAAGGCAGCAGCTGCCCAATATTGGGGCCAGCTCTCCTTCTTCACAGCCCAGCATTGCATACATGTCCCACAGCCTGTTCCCAGAGCAGCAGTGTCTTCAGCAAGGGCTGGTACTCACGGGATGGCAGCGAGCCTGACTGTGCTGTCAGGGACTCTTTTTGGATCCTGCCTGTGTGTTTTGTTGTCTTTCCCAGCCTATGAGCCAGGCTGGATTAGCCCCACAGTAAGCCTGGTTAGAAATAAGTCTCTTGGATGCCTTAATGCCATGCAGGACCCCCAGCCCACGGTGCAGAGCAGGGGAGGGGGTGGCAGCAGGAGGAGCAGGGCTGCAGGTCCCCCCACTTCCTTTGGGGACACTGTCCTGGGTCCAGAGGGACAGCAGCAGGACAGCAGCAAGACAGCTGTTTGCTGAGCTGGAGCGTGTTTAGCAGCAGCAAGAGGATTTGTGTATCAGTGCTAAAGCAACTGAGTCGAGAGGTGTTTGGGATGTGCAAAGCCATTAGCCTTATTGGCATCAGGGTTCAGCCAGGGCACCAGGTTCTGCCTTCGGGGCGATGGTAATGGGCACGCAAATGCAATGGTTCAGCTTGCAGAAAGGGGAAAAGTGCTGGAAATGCGGTTGGTGTTAAAAGATGTCATCTGGGTCCCCTTGTTCTGGGATGGGGTGGGTTGCATTGAATAGCCAAGGCACTGTGAGCAAAGCTTTGATGGGTATTTCTTACTGGTAGGACAGACTCATCCCTCCATCACCTGATGCTAGCATGGGCAAGGATGTGACCCCCTAAAATATGTCCGCCTGAACCCAGCAATGCTGCAGGGAAGTGTTTGCCATGGGGTAGGCTAACTCAGCAGTCGCTTTTCCCAGGCAAACCTACCACCAGTGATGCAAACCACAGCACAATACTGCTGGACGTGGCATCCGAAAGCCTGGAGCTGGGGTCCCAGGAGAAGCGTTACCCAGCCAAGGGCTTATAGCCCCACTGTCACAGCAAACCTCAAGAGATAAAAAGAACAGGAACTTCAGAACCACTTGAGCCAACCCATGAACAAATAATTTTAATGTTTTTTTCAGCAGACCGTAGTTTTCTCAGAGCTCCACAGTCTCCTCTCTTTGAAGTTGGACAGATACAGTAAACACAACAAATATATGATACAACCCATCACAGCTGGATTAAAAAAAATACACAAAAAATATAATACATAAAAAATGGATTTTTAACATTGTGGACTGACACAGCTCTAAAAATGGTGATCGTAACCCTGGTAAGCTTTACAAAGTCTTTAAAAAAATAAAACAGTACTTCATGTGAAATTCATAAATACACTGGAGGAGAATGGAGGGGCTGGGGGGGGGGCGTGGGAAATGTGCCTGTCGGGGGCACCATGTGCATGGGGTGCGGGTGGGTGCCCCGGGGCTTGGTGCAGGTGGGATGGAGGGATGGAGGGAGCGATGAAGGCACAAACCGGTCCAGTTAATGAAGAGCTTCATCCACCAGTGGAGCCAGGAGCAGGGCACGCCTGTGTTTTATGGCAGGGAAGTTTTGAGTTTTCATTCCCAGAGTTTTAGATCAGTGAGTGAAACAAAAGAAAGAAAAAGAACCACAAAACAACAAACACGCTACATATGAGAACTTGGCTGGGCAGCCCTGGCGTGGCCCTGGGATGGGATGCCCATGCCTTTCCCTGGATTTTTCCCTCTCTTTCCCCCCTGCTCCGGCCACCCCTGCTCACTGCAGCCGCCTCCATCCATCCCCACCGCCATATCCTTGCCTGGGCACGGGGCCAGGTGGCTCTGCCCCATCCCACGGGGATGGGTGGCTTCTCCTGGCAGTGAGAGGTCAAAGTCCCTGCGCTTCACGGGACACGTGGCATCGCGATGGCAGCCAAGGCCGTTTCCTGAGCTCTGGGGCTGCTCCTCCGTGCCCAGCAGCATCGAGCCTAAAACCCCTCTGTCCCCTCCCATCCCGGGCTCCAGCTCCCCTCAAACCTCTCCTGCCCTCCTGTAGCACCTGGCTCTGCACCTCTCACTGCCTTCGCTCCCCCGCCGGCATGAGACACCTGGCCAGACCTGCCTGTCTCAGGCTCCCTGTCCCCCTGCCACCCTGTTCCATGCCACTGCCAACAAACTCGACCTCTGTCCCTCTGCGTCCCTCCTGCTCTCCCCAGGCTCTGCCCTTGCAGCTGACCGGGCATGCTGCCTTGGCTTATTTTGAGCTGCAGCCACAAAAATACCTCCAAGCAGACCCAGTCCCCTGCCCCGGCATCACTCCTGTCCTCTGTTCCCTCTCTGTCCCTTCTGTCCTGAACTCTGCCTGCTTGCAGCCTGGCCCTGCATTGTACTATGTGCTTCTCCCTGCATGAGCTGCTTCCCTGGCTGCTTCCTGCGGGATGCAGGTGAGCTGGCTGGAGCAGCTGCAGGGAGCAGCTGAAGCCAGAATAGTCAACACAGAAAAAAGGCAAAAAAGGGGGGGAAGGAAAAAAAAAAAAAGAGATGGAAAATGTACATATCCAAAGTAAACCAGGCAAACCTGCCCTCACTGCTCTCTCCTCATGACTCCTCGGCAAGCAACCACAGAGGGGGTATGTTTAGCCTGGCCCACCCCCAAGTGCAATCCCTGAAAGCACAGGCAGACGCTCAGGGGATCCCGCTGCCACATAAAAACCAGCCTCCGGTCTGCAGCAACCCCACAGAGATGGAGATGCCCCCAAGCCCTCCCTACACAAGCTAGCTCCCCATGCCCAGCAGTTTCACTGCGCAGCTCCAACCAGGCAAACTCAGCTGCGTCACCTCCTCTGGTCACTGCCATGGTGGGGGTGGCAGGGGAGCAGGTCCCAGACACCGCAGAGGGGCATAATCCTGATTACAAACATGGTGTCTTTTTAAAAAATATTAAAAAGCACTTTAATTTAAAAAAAGGAAAAAAAAGAGCCATAAAAAAATTGGTTTCCATCATCAATGCCCTCCCGCCTTCAATGCTGCTGGCTCCCAGTGCCCCAGCCGGGCACAGGGAAGGAGCATGCTGGGTGCCAGTCCCCAGGGATGTGGCAGCATCCTGCTCCACTGCCCTGCCCTGCTCCTACCTGCTCCTGCCTCAGCATGTCCATCCCCACGTCCCTGCTGCCACCCGGGCTCTGCTGGGCAGCACCAATGCCGCAGCCGCTGCCATGCCAATCGGTTTCAGACCAGACCTGGCGTGACGCCGTCCTCCAGCCTGTCCGTGCTTGCTCCTCTCTGCTCAGGACCAGGGCCATATCTGAGTGAGGGGTGGGGGCGAAAGGAGGGGTTGTCCTCTGCTCCGACATCCTGCTGCTGACGGTGGCACGGTGGGCTCCCGGCCTTCATCAGTGACACCGAGGGCTGGTCTCTTCCCATCCAGTGCCGGATGCGGGTTTCCTTTCTCCCTATGCTTCCTTTCCCGTTCTTCTTTTTTTTTTTTATTTATTTAAAAAAAAAAAAAAACTGTTCCTAAGTAGAAAACATCTGCGATCGCAAGTCAGTCTTTTT